TGTTGAAAACGCATTAATATATTTAAAATATTATAAACAGCTATAAATCTGGATTGTATAAAGAATTGTCTCTTAAATAGAACTTGTTACACCTAATTGGCACTTAATTAAGGGTGTTTCAGTTGCAAAAAATAATAATTTTTGAACCACCTATTTATTTTATTAAAGTATGAATGTCATGTATTTTTAAAGTATGAATGTCACCTTTTTTATTAAGGTATGAATGTCACCCAAAACAGAAACCTTATTAAATATAAATGTGCTTCCAAAGTATAATTGTTAATGAAACGATTACTAATTTCTACGATTTCGATGATTATTTCTAAATTCTGTTTAAATAAGAATTTATGTTTAAAAGCTCATAAGTAGTTCATAAAATAATATTTTACATAACTTCAATAGTTAAACTTAAAAAAAAAAAAAAAAACTCAAAGGAAATTTTTTTAACAAGAGATTTATTTAAGAAAGTTAAAACACATTTTATCAATATATGACATATAACTTTTTTTTTAAGAATCAGTACAGTCATCACAAGTAAATACTTTTTTAGTATAAACACCACATATAGCAGCACATGTTTCATGCCACCATCTACAGCATTTAAGGCATTTGTCCCAATTATCTTTTAAATAAGGATCGACAGGATCACCATAGCTGTATTGACACTTTGCACAAAGTTGTTTATTAATCGCACCTTTAGCATCAAGGTTTTTCAAACACGTCTTTTGATGAATAGATATACTTTTTTTAATGCACTTTTTACGTGGCTGTCTGTTCTTATATTTCAAGTTTAAAGATTCCTCTAGCTGAGATTTATATGGTGATCCAGTAATTTTTTCAGCATGATTTACCCTCCTTTTTATACCTGTTCGCTTTGCATTTTTAATGTCAAGTCCAGCTAGTGATCCAAATGTAACACCATAAGGTTGTGAGGTTTCATCGTGTGAGGTGGCTAATTCTGATGACTTCTGAAGTGTAAATGATGAATTTGGAGAAATAGATTCTAAATAAAAATTATTTAACTAAAGAGGGTGAATAAAAATAGGCAACATGCAAATTATAAAAAATAGTTAAAATGTTTTTAAAAAATTTGAACTTTCTTTAAGAAACCTTTTTTTAGGTTAATAAAACAACAAATAAGTTAATATTTTGCTTGATTTAAAAAAAGTCATATTTGTATTTTAAATAAAATGCGGAAGATGTTAAAAATAATACAACATTTATGACGATTTACCTTTTTGAGTGTCAATAACACAATCTGTAACAAAATCAATATTATCTAATTCTTTAGCAGAGTCTAACCCATTGTTGAGAGTAGGGTGCATTTCAGAGGTATTATTTGGTTTTGAAATTTTTGATATAACATACGAGTGATCAGTAGCCTTGGCTGCAGCAAAGTCTTCTTCAGTAAACACATTTCTATCAAATGGATATATTCCACATTTTTTGAACCCTGACTGACAATTTTGAACAGTTGCAGCTTTCCCATAGGCTTTTCCAAATAATTCACCAACCTCTAGTTCAGTTACGGGACAACCAGAATGGTGACGAAGCCAAGTACTAACCTCCTGATCATAGAATATTTTTAGGCTTTTAAAAAAAGAAACATCAAGTGGTTGCAGTTTGTGGGTGCAGTGGGATGGAAGTGATAAAATAATAACATTTGAGTGGCGCGCTTTTTTAATAACACTAAGATTTTTTTTATGACTTGAATGTCCATCTAAAATTAGAAGAACTGGTTGGTTTCTTGACTGAGGCTGGACTGCTTGTAAAAAATGATCAAACCATATTTCAAACAACTCAGTTGTTATCCAGCCATTTTTGCTGCCACCAGAAATAGAACCTATTGGGGCTTTATCTAAAAATTCAGGTTTCACTCAAATACGTGGATAGATCAACATTGGAGGGACAAAAAACCCGCTTGCTGATTGGCAACAAACTATTGTGATTGTTTTACCTCTTTCGGAGCTTGTTAAGCCACCAACACTGTGTTTTCCCTTAAGAGCAACAATTTTTCCTGGTTTATGGCAAATAGACAATCCAGATTCATCTACGTTGAATAAGTTTGATGGTGGAATAATCTGCATCCCATTAACATTAAACATTATTTTTTCTAGTTCATCGTAAAAACGATTAACTTTTATTCTATTAAAACCAATGGCTCAATGCAATGACGTTGACTCAGCAACTCTGACAGAGAGTTCATTATGGCGTTTCAAAAAACCCCTAAACCATTCTTTTCCTGCTGACTTAGTTTCACAATTAAATTTGTGAATAATTCTATTTTCTTCACAAAACTGAAATTTGTTTTACATCTTTTGGAGACAAACCAAACAATCTCTGTGACATGGTCAGAAGAACTTCTACGAGCTCTTTTTCTTGAAAAGCTGAGAGTGTTGTTGGGTGTCCTGCACGTAACTTTTTAACAAAATTATCAACAGGTGCTCGTTTTATATAGTCATGTAGTGTTTGTCTTGGTATTTTATATTGTTTAGCAGCAGAATATTTCGAGCAACCATCAACTAAAACTGCATTTACTGCCATTTTTAATGATTCTTGTGACCAATTACCATATTTTACACGTTTTGAACTCATTATATGATGCTGTAAAATAATGTTTACATATATATATATATATATATATATATATATATATATATATATATATATATATATATATATATATATATATATATATATATATATATATATATATATTTATATATATATATATATATATATATATTATATATATATATTATATATATATATATATATATATATATATATATATATATATATATATATATATTGTTATATACAATAATAATTATTGTATATAACAAATTATAAATTTATTATATACATATTGTTATGTATGACATAAATTTAAAATATATTGTGGGGAACTACTATTTTGATAAGTTTCACAGTGTCACTAACTAAATTCACTTTTTTACTAGCTCGTTATTAGTTTACTATTATCTGAGTTACTAAAATCAATTTCTTCTATACATAATATTTAAAACGTTTATTTCCATTTTAGTTTTGGAGAAACAACAGGTCGGCAAATTCGGCACTGCCAAAATTAAGAACTATTTATAAGCCGAAATTATCTCCTTAAAGCAGTCCTAGGGGAAACTCTTATATCTTGTAAAATACTTTGAGTTTAATTTTATTGTTGCTCACATTTTGTTCAGTATATATTTTTGAATGAAATAAATACAAATTTTTGGTAGAAATTTTCGGAAAAAATCATTTATCCTCTATTTTCAAAAAGGAAAAAATGTTAAGAAAAACCTAATAATCATAAAATAACGTACCTATAATGTAAAAATAGAAGTTTAAACTAATATTTTTAGAAAAACTGTTTATCTTTCTATAATACTCAATTATAGTTTTGATATTTCATTAAATAAATATTTTCAGGTGTCTTTTGAAGTGGTGCCGAAATTACCCTACTTTACCCTAATGCATTTTTATCATTACAATCACTATAGTAACATTTAATAACACAAATCTGTATAATAAAATTTATTAACAGTTATTTTAGAGATCAGTGATTACAATCTCGTATTTCTCTGTATTAATCTGGTATTCCTCTGTAGCAATCTGGTATTTGGTATTCGGCGGTATAGTTTGCAATATTCGGCCGAATACTGAATAGTTAAACAAACAGCCGATTAGGCTGCTAATCTAATGCTAATTAATACCCTATGTCACCGAATATTTGTGAAATCTCTAATAAATATGATTATTATTGTTTTATTTATTGAAAAACTTATATAAAACTTTGTATTTTTTTTAGCAACAATTTTAAAATGAAAATTTAATATAACTTTGAGATGATGGCAAATAATAGTTTGTATAATAAGCTAAAACACTAGCCCAAATTTTTCTAGTTAAAAAAATTTACTAAAGATTTTTTTTTAAGTTTTTTTTTTGTTTGTAAAAAATAAGGTTGCTTTTGATACAAATTAAACATAAAATTTGAAAAAAAAAATTTTTCCTTATAGTAAATATTAAAAATCACCTAAATCTGTGAAAATTTCGCCAACATACTCGAGTCATTTTTTCAATCCGTCTAAAGGTTCTAAAAAAGAGCAACTATTGAAAAATAAACTTAATTGAAATAAATCAATTGCAAATCGAATCTTTTCAATAATTATTTTTTATACGACGAACTATTTTTTTTGCAAAGTAAAAAAAAAAAAAATGTTTCAAAAGCTATTTTTTTTGTCCAAAAAATACATTGACCCCAATATCTTTTATGGGTGAGTCCATACAATACAGTAGTAAAGATGGAAAAAGTCAATCAGTAAGGTTTCATTTAACTACTGACACTTTCTTATGTATTCAAAGGCTCTGTAGAGAAATGAAATTCGCCATCTTACCTTGCTACCAACTAGCCTTCCTTTTTCATTTTCAATTTGATTTCAAATATCCAGCCTTACCACGAAAAGTTATTAAAAATAAATTGGTTCAAGCTTCTAATATTAGAAGTAAAATTCTTAATTTATTATTTTTACTGCTGAAAATTACTGTTAAATAAAATAGAAACATGTCAAATGCTATTATGAAATAAAAAAAAACAACAAAAAAATTTGATTTGATTTCTATTTATTTTCAAAACTTTATATTTTTTCACTTTTTTCATTGTGTTTCTACTCTTTTATATTTGTCTGTTCTATATTTATAGCTTATTTTATCATAAACTCATAATTTATGATATCATCTTCATGCAATACTCATTAATGAAAATTAAATATAACGTATTACGAAAAAAAATTTAAACATTAAAAGGTTTTTAAATCTTTTAAAGATAATACCTAGACACAAAACAAACATGGTCTAAAGGCCACTATTTTAAGTAAGTGTTAATGATTGACTGTTGTATAAAAATGGTGACCTTTTTTCTGAAACAAATTATTCCACAGACCTGCTTTTATGTAATGTTGCACTCAATCACAAATTAATGGCTTTCTTTTTTATAATTACAGATACAAATAAGATCAAAACTCCTCGTGAACTAAGAAACAACAAAACAAAAGAGTACGTTTCAGAAATGATTGATAATTCTTCTTTTCATGGAATTAGTTATATAGCTGGTAAAGAAAACCATTTTATTCGACGAACGATATGGCTACTCATAACAATGACAGCTTTTGGTTACGCAGCACAAAAAGTGTATGAAAGCACAGTTAACTATTTTTCTTTTCCAATTAGTACTACTCAAATGAGAATATACGTTAATGAAATTGATTTCCCGGCTGTATCTTTCTGCAATTTCAACGAATTTCGGTTAAGCAAAATGGACGGAACAAAAGTTGACCAAGCTATTTTAAATCCAAAATTACAAGGACTGGTAACAGCTGAAGAATACAGAAACGTGACCTTTGGAGCTATGTTTGACTTAAAAGAAATGCTTGTTGACTGTGAGTTTAACGGTATACCTTGTTCTGATGAAAATTTTACCATGTTTAGTTGGATGCAGGGAGAACGTTGTTTCACATTCAACTCAGGAAAATTTCCTCATAAACTTTTAAAGATTGGTGGTGCAGGAATGAAAAGAAGCTTGAAAATCACAATAAATATTATCCATTACGAATACTATAAAGACGAAATGGATGCGGCTATTCATATGATAGTACATGGACAGCAAGACACTCCACTCAAAATGCGCGGCCCTACATTATCACCTGGTTTTACAACATATATCCAATTAGAAAAAAAGATGGTAATTTTATTTTTAAAAATTTTTATAAATAAAATCTAATAATCTGATGCAATAATACTTAATCAAAAACAGAAAAAAAATATCATCGACATCAGAGGTTTATGTATAAATGAGCAACTTTGACGTTAAACTGTATTACCCAATAAGTTTTTTCTGTTGTCAAATTAGAAAATAACATTTTAGCTGAATGTTGTCTCAGTTGAGATAGTGTCATTAATTAATAGAACTAAAAAAATCAAATAGAATTATACAGTTTATACGTCAATTATACGTCAGGAGTGCATATTTTTATATGCCTCTTTGGTGACGACGATGAAATATCAATGATAATACTTTGATTTAATTAAATCAAAGTATAATACTTTATATCTTTACAATACAATACTTTAGATAACGTTCCTATTTTATTTATACCATAACTTCAATTCAAATATTTTATACAACTTATGCAATTTTCTAGTTTCTATTTATAGTTAATATTACTTTAAAAAAAAATAATAAAAATAAATAAAATTAGTGGTAATTAAAACAAAATAAAAAAATGTGTCAAGAAAACAGCCACTTGGAAGTTTTTAAAAACTTACTTAGAAAACTCTTTGTCAAACTTTGATATTTTTTAAGATTTATTATTTCCTTTTTCTTTGCGCGAAAATAAAAATGATGTCTGCTTATCTAAGAAGGAACTTTAATAGTTCAATTTCGTAATTAAAAAAACAAACAAAATAGTTAAAAAAATAAAACTAAAAAAAATAATTTGTAACGTTACTAACTATTAATTAACCTTCAAAGCCTAATAACCTGCGCTATTTTTTAATTTATAACAAAAAAGTAGCGTAGAGCGCATAACTCTCATTAAATTCTCATTAAATTCTCATTAAAGTTTTTACTTAACAAAGAGTAAAACAAAAACTATTAAATATGATGTTTAATATTTAAAAACAATGAGTTTTTAATTTTGATTATTTTTATGAAACTTATAATGAATTTTATATATAATTATTTAATAAGCAAACAAAACAACTTATGGAAACAAAAATTTGAAATGAAAACGGATGAGTTTTAGCTTTATACGATAAAATGAAACAAAAGCCACTGTCTCCATGATTTAAATCCTTGGATTGTTAAAAAAGGTTTTTATATTATACTATATTAAAAAAAGGTTTTTATATTGTTTCAATAAAAAAAAATTTTACGTCTTTTTGAAACTAGCAAGAGTGGTTTTAGTATTAAAAGATGGCGATACTTTAAAATTATGTTATTAAAGACTCTCATGTTTTATGGGTATAATAGGGCCAGTGTTAAAGTGTAAATATATCTGTGTGCATTTAAAGTACACTGGTAACATTTAAAACTAGCCAGGATGCACAATTGGACAAAACCTTCACTGATTATAAAACTACAAACTATTACTAGTATTTTTGTTACAACAATTATTAAAAGTTTTGGGCATCAAATTTACAGATTATAGAACTATATAAAATATAAATGAGGCTGTGTGAATACAAATATAAATTAGGCTGTGTGAATAGAAATATAAATAAGGCTGCGTGAATACAAATATAAATAAGGCTGTGTGAACACAAATATAAATGAGGCTGTGTAAACACAAAGTGGACAGTGAACAGTGACACCTAATAAACACAAATTAAGAACAAAAGTTGTCATACAAATTATATTGTAAAAGCAAAAAAATGAGCACCATTTATTGAATACGTTATAAAATAAAATTCAAGTGCAGTATGTTCTTGAATAATACAAAAAAGAGTTTGTACGCATGGGGGAAGGGGGAGTTTGACAAAAAAATTACAACAGCGTAAAAGAGGGAGAAGGTGTTGAAGACAGCAAGTAAGTACACAATTTGACTATCTTATTTTTTCTCTCCTGAAACTTGATTTCTTTTTTAAACACAAACATTGAATGCCACGAGTTTAAAAAATCAGTATTACGTTGTTTGACAAATTATGCTCTCAGAAGTGAACGTACCGGGGTTTCTTTTTTCACGGAATTGTCAGTTAGGCATAATAGGATAACTCAGTCAAAAATAAATATGAAAATGCTCCTAAATTGAATTTTTACTAATTTATTACTTTTAAGTGTAACTAGTTTTATAGCACCATAACTTTGTTGTCTTTAGTGCTACAGATCTAATGCTTAAAAAACCCAATAGAACAAATGAACCTTACGATTTAAAATTAGAATGATAATATATTTATTTTTGTGAATATTTAGAATATATATTTAAAATTTAAAATATGTATTTCAAGTTTTAATATACTTTAGTGGGAAAAAATTAAAACTTGAATAAAAAATTTGCCACATTTGAATCGCAAAAGAGATCACCTGGAGTGCAGAAATATAATTTTTTTTGGATATTGAAACAAGAACAAACAATGTATAAACTGTGTCCATAATGCAAGAATGCAATTTACAAGAAAGAGGTATTTTTTATTTGCTATGTCACTTGTTATTTTGTATAACAAATATTCATTTTTTGAAATGCATAGTACAAATGATTTTTTTGCAGAAATAAAAAAATGTTAAAAGTGCAGAAGCTTCCTTGGATCTTTTGAAGATTTCAATGGTTGGAATTAAACAATAAGTTGGTGAACTATCTCAGTGTCCACTTTTTTGTCTGGGAAGTGATACTAGAAGTAATAAAAAGCTCAACTTAAGTGATTACATCAACTCAATCTTATCACAGGACAATAAAAGTAATTCAACTTTGAGTTCGAATACTAATGCCTTAATATGTGGAGGTTGCTTTTAATATATAGAAAGAGGTATTAGGCACACTTTCCATGCTATAGAAAATCAACTGCTAAAATCATAGAGAAAATTATTATATCCAAAGATTTTAATTTGTCTCAACAGGAAGCATCAAAGGTTTTGAAAACAATTATTGGTGAAAAACAGGGTTAGTTCTCTAAATTGAATAACAAATATTTTGATATTTGTTATTCAATTTAGAGATTTTATGATTAGCTTAAAAGCAGAGATGTAGTCAAGACAGTAAAGGCCAAGACCAAGACTAAGACTAAGATTAGATTAAACTGTCAATAATAGGAACACCAATACATCAATACAACACAAATTGAAGAGAGTATCTCTCCAAAGAAGATCAGTACAGACGCAGTATTAAATATCGAGAGAAAGCATGATTAACCTGAGTGTGTAATCAAAAGCATGTTGACTGAAATATGAAAAGATGTTTGTCAATTAGGATTTGATAGTAATGTGGAGGCTGATATGAATAGAAGGTCGCATTTATTAGACCACTTTTATCGAGTCCACCAGTTAAAATTTCAGCAAGATGCTATATAGAGGTTCAAAAAAATGTAGTATGTGTTAAAGATATACTTATGCTTGTTGATAAAATATGCGAACAAAGAGTAGCAATTGTGAAAAACGGCATTAATGGGGTTTAAGCAAAACTCGAGAATCAAATCAGATATCAAAAGAACTCAAGTGTAAACAAAGTTATTTTACTAGCTACTGTATAACATGTTGTAGAAAACAGATTATGTATCAACTATTAGTTGGTTACGATGGAAAATTTATTCATATGTAATTTTAATCTCTTTTATAGTTTAAAAAAACAATCGAGATGTGATGGATTATGGGACATTATGACAAGAAAATTGTAATAACATCTTTTAAAACTATTAAAAATATTTGTATGCAATATTTTAAATAAGTAAATAAAAACTGCATTTTTAATTTAATATCAAAATTTGAAATAAACAATTCACAAAAGTAAATACATAACCTTTATAATTAAAAATTTTAAGATTTATTCTCTTTTGTAGGGAATTTTTAAGCTGTAGAAGCTGTAGTAGCTATCTGTAGAACTAAAGAAATTTTTAAGCTATCTGTAGAACTAAAGAAAACAAAGTTGTGGTGATGCAAAATTTATTACAGAAATTTTTTTGTTCTGCAAAAAATTATTATTAAAAATAAAAAAAACAAAAAAAAATCAATTTGGGAGAGGCTCTAAATATAATTTTGGGATAGAGTTATCCTATTATGCCTGCCTCATGATTCTATGGAAAAAAATCCTAGTTACCTTCACCTTCAACCTAAACCCCTATCAAGGAGCAGTAAAATGTCAGATTAATTAAAAGTTTTTTTTATTTTGAATGTTCTGAAAAATGAATGCGTTTTGAAGGGATGGGTGAATTTGAATAAATAGTGCGTACATACGCAGAGGATAGGAGGAGTGGGGGGAGGTATTCTTGAAAATTACGGAGTGCAAAAGGTAGGGAAGTCTTAAATCAGTAGTTTTTAGGGTCGTCCATAAATAATGTCACGCAATAGGCGGGGAAAGGGGTTTTGTGACAATTTGTTTTAGGGAGGGAGGGGTATTCAATTTTCTGAAGCAATATTTTTTTCCAAGTTTCTAACCTTGAAAATCTTTTTTATTCGTTAAAAAAAGGCCTAGCCTAAAACACTCGACTACGGTTAATCCAATATAAAATAAATTGGAATTTTTAAAATGATATTTAAACTTTTTATAAACTGATTTAAATTTTAGCCGATCTATCATTGACGAAAAAATAATTAATAAAAACATAATTATTAAATAAAAATGCATATCATAATTATTAAATATTAAATGTACGCGCGTATAAATAATGGCTTTCAAAGTAACACTAAATTATAAATAAAAATAAATAATATAGGTATATAATAAATAAAACTTAAATAAAAATAATGAAAATTTATATTTATTAAAGTGCATTCATTAGATAACTTTAAGCAACTAAGAAAATTAAAAATATTATCGTATTTAAAACCACAAAAACAAATTTAAGTAGGAAGTGGGGTGGGGGAAGAGAGGGTGGTTACAAATTTGTTTAACAACTTTAGGGAAGGAAAGGGGGGGACAGTAAAACGTGAGGATTTATTGGCAAGGGGGAGGATTCTTAAATTTTCAAAAATATAGTGATGTAATTTATAGACGACCTCGAACTTTATAGATGCCCATACGAGCTTTTACTAAA